TCTTTCTCTGATTGACTTATTTCACTCAGCATAACACCCTCCAGTTCCATCCACGTCGTTGCAAATGGCAAGATCTCATTCCTTTTGATGGCTGCATAATATTCCATTGTGTATATATACCACATCTTCTTTATCCATTCATCTGTCGATGGACATCTTGGCTCTTTTCACAGTTTGGCTATTGTGGACATTGCTGCTATAAACATCAGGGTGCACGTACCCCTTCGGATCCCTACATTTGTATCTTTGGGGTAAATACCCAGTAGTGCAATTGCTGGGTTATAGGGTAGCTTTATTTTCAACTTTTTGAGGACCCTCCATACTGTTTTCCAGAGTGGTTGCACCAGCTTGCATTCCCACCAATAGTGTCAATGGGGAAAAACTGAGAGCTTTCCCCCTAAGGTCAGGAACACAGCAGGGATGTCCACTGTCACCACTGCTATTCAACATAGTACTAGAAGTCCGAGCCACAGCAATCAGACAACAAAAAGAAATCAAAGGCATCCAAATCAGCAAAGAAGAAGTCAAACTCTCACTCTTTGCAGATGATATGATACTTTACGTGGAAAACCCAAAAGGCTCCACCCCAAAACTGCTAGAACCCATACAGGAATTCAGTAAAGTGGCAGGATACAAAATCAATGCACAGAAATCAGTTGCATTTCTATACACCAATGATAAGACAGAAGAAAGAGAAATTAAGGAGTCGATCCCATTTACAATTGTAACCAAAACCATAAGATACCTAGGAATAAACCAAATGTTATCTTACACTTGGCTTTAGTTGGATAGCAAGAATTTTCTCTATGTTCGAAGCCCGGGAGCAGACTCAACAATAATATCTCTCATGAGAAGTTAGGAGGTGGTGTTTTCTTGCCACAGATTAAGACAGTGAGGCTCTGAAAGTTCTGTAACTTGCTTTAATCACACAGCGAATGAGAAACAAGCTCAAACTCATATCCTTTCCACTCTATTTGACTGCCTTTCTTCAAAATGAGCCCCAAACAGCCCTTCTACCCACATGAAATTGTCTATATTTTAATTTGGTTTTTGGTAACATTATAAATGGGTGCAGAAATGTAACAATTATTGAGACTTTGCATTTATTTTCAGTACCTCCTCTGTGTTAATTTCTTGACACTGCTGTGACAAATTAGCACAAACTTGGCTGAAAACACAGAAATTATTCTCCCACACTTCTGAAGACCAGAAGTTCAAAAATCAATCAACCAGGGAATGTGTTGTGCTCCCTCTGAAGTCTCCAGGGGACAATCTGTTTCTTGCCTCTTGAAGTTTCTAGTTGCTCCAAGGGTACCTGGCTTGTGGCTGCATCATTCCAATCTCTGGTCACATGACCTCCCCTTCTCTTTGTGTGACTCTTCTAAGGACACTTGTCATTGGATTTAGGGCCCACTCAGATAATCTAGGATGATTTCTACTCGAAATCCTTAACTTAATTACATATGCAAAAACCCGTTTTCCAAATAAGGTCACTTTCACAGGTTCTGAGGATTAAGACGTGGATGCATCTTATGGGGGAACCACCATTGAGCCCGCTGCACCCTCCCTGAGCTCCAGCCTAGAGACCCTATAGGCAATCAGCTGGGGACCCATCAGACTCAGCTCATCTGTTTCTCTTCTTCCAGGAATCACTACCTGCTATCTGAAAACCATTGTCTGAGATATTTTGCCAATTTTCTAGTTGTTTACACAGTAGGTAAATCCAGTCCCTATGACTCCACCTTGGCCAGAAGCAGAAGTTGCACCCAAGAGTGTTAAGATCATTGAGTGTGGAGACCTTGCTCATACCTGCATCATCATGAGCCTATAGAATTGACTGGAATGTGGTAATCCTTCCATAGCAATTGATGAATCAATGAACAAACGAATGAAAAGGAAATTAATCTAAATCCTTTTGCCTCAGTCATCTGGGCAAGCTTGAGCCATCTTTCCTTAGCTGGGTATATACTAGTATGAGTCACTTTATTTGCCAGTCACTGAGCCTTCTCGCTTCGGCTTTCATGGCTAATGCGAAAAAACAGCACTGGGAAATTTAAGAGATTTACTTATGGAGCACATTTTGCATAATGATTTATGAGAAGTAGGTTCTGCTCGTGTTTTAAATAAAAAGAACGCAGGGCATTTTGGGGGGAGGGGCTGATGTGGGAAAGGTAAGTGAGCAGCAATATTGCCACAGGGAATTGAGGCCAGATGATGTGTTTAATGGAAAATAAACGATAAGGCAGTGAGAAAATATAAGAAGCAAGAGATAAGAAAAGCTTGTCTATCGAAGAACACGTCATAAATTTTATCAGTCCATATCAAAACAAATTATGGTCATATATGAAGAAAAACGGTTTCTGCTTTCATTTCCGCATGCACACACAAAGTTAAAAAGAAAATATTACCATTTTCAACAGCGTTTAGGTGAGCACCTGTTGTATGGCTGTGTGATTTAGCCCAAAATCAAATTATCTTGAGTATAGAGCTTTGTTAGTTTTCTTTGAATTTATTACATCAGATTTTTAATGACAAGTAAAAAAATAATAGACATTTGTTATAAGACTAAAAGTACAAAGGTGGATGGAGTTAGAAATCTACTACTTTAATTGCAATCCCCTGAGGTAACCAATACTAACAGTTTAGTGAGTATCTTTCTACATCTTCCTTGATGTTCCTTAGAACATATATAAATATATTTACATATACAGTGGGTGGTTTTGGTTTTATAGAAATGTGAACAAATGAAATATATAACTTTTTTTTCATTTAACAATAGATTAGAGACATCCTACCAGATGAATACAGAGAGAGATTTACCTCACATTTTTTAATCTAGAGATGAATTTACTATCATTTATTCAACTGTTCCTCAAGTGATGTACATTCTGGTGTTTTCTGGGGTTTTTTCCACCACAGATAATACTGCACTGAACACCCTTGCGATTGCAGACTGTTCTAATTTCATTGTCATGGGTTTCTGAGCCTTGAAATCTAACCTTTCAAATGCCACTTGCTTCCCCTTATCCTCCCTGTCGTTTGGAGACGGAAGCTAGCTGAAGGGGGACACTGCAGATGAGCTAGGAAAACGGGTATTCACTCCATACCGCACATGGCCAGCAGCTTCCTGCTACACTATTTACGTCCTAGTCCATTGAGATGGCACTCTCCGCTCACATGACCCAAATGCAGCTCGCACTCCACCAAGAACACAGCTGAATCCAACTGCATTGGCAGCTTTGCACATGCTCCGTCTGGCCCTGTGAATCCTCACTCACCCATTGAGATTTCTTTTGGTTTAAAGCAACATTCCAGCTGCTGAAGCTCCGTGACCTCCAGTGTTTTCCTGGCTCTGATCCAAGGCAGGTGGCCCCCTGCAAATGGTGTGTTTTCGAGTTTGAGCTTTTTTGTTTATTTGCTGGGGGTCGGACGGTGTATGATAATTACCCACAAGCTTAGCTGATGAATGGAGCCATTAAGAAGTAACTCTTTTTTTCTGGCAGGTATTGTAGGAATAACATTTACTTATTACCATCGTTTGCCTTGACAACAACCTGCAGCTCTAATGCACATTTAATTCTCAAACAGAGGTCTTGGCGACTGATGCTGTCTGTATCTGACTGATGTGTTGACTATAACATGTGAGGTGGTGTTTTTTTCCTGTCTAGAAACCTGGATGCTTTTTGCCATTCTGATGATAAATGATGAGACAGGCAACCATGGATTTCAGCACTCCATCCGTGTTTGATCAGCAAAAAGGTAAAAACGCTGTTTTCATACATCCTTTTGGTTCTTCGCATCTTTAGTTCAGTAGTTGAGATTTTGCAATTCTAAAGGGAAAGAGAGTAGTGTGTGTGAGAGAGAGAGAGCGAGAGAGAGGAGAGAGAGAGAGAGCAAGAGAGAAAAGAGGATTTCACATAGAAAACCTGTTCTAAATGTTCGCTTCGTATTTGATAAGCATTTGGAAGGGAAAAATAAGCTTCTGGTCTGTTTGTCTTGTTAAAATATTCTGATCTACAAATTTTAAAAATTGGATTTCAAGCACACCAGCTATTTCAGATACAATCATCTTTATTCTCATTTGATTTTTTTCAAATCTTCTCAAAAAATGTTATAGGAAGTAATATAAAAAGAATAAATCACGTATCTCTTTTCAGTCTATTAACCCAGTATCTCATTGCTCCAGTTTCATAAATACTTCTTGATTCCCTTTTAGGAATAGATGTTAACCTAGATTTATGCTGTAGTGATATATTATCTCATCCGGGGTTGTGGTATGACTTATCACTATGTTATTATTTGTAATGACGGGATATATCTTTCTTACTCATAACTTGCAGAGTGGAGGTCATTTTCCACATGAAAAGATTGCTGTGGAATCAACCCATCCTCATAAAAACCATGTATTCAGCCATGTAGTTTATGTGTATACATTTTGCATGTGAAGTGTTTACATGTATGTATACATAATACCTTTGTGCAATTATGCACCTTTTCTATGCATGTACAGGAAATTTCCACTCTGTAAATGTCATAGATTTTTTTTAGAATATTTTAAAAAATAATCTGTTACCTAAACCACTTTCTGTTAACCTGTGAGTATTCTTCAGGATCCTAAAATTCTTTGGTCATTTCCTTGTTTTGGGTACAACATGAAAATGGTGATTTGTGAAAGCCTCATTAAGAAAATTCATTGCTTCTTTCTTTTTCCCTTTTCCTGCTTTAGGCCATACTGTGTTTACTATCCTTCAAGCTACATCTGGTTTCATGGGTGAATTATTTTAGTGCAGTGCTTTCTCAAATATTAGATTTACATTTAGATCTCTGAGTAACTGTATGTACAGGTATACACAGACACACAGATTGATCTCCACTCCTTACCTCATTTTGAATTGTGTGTGTGTGTGTGTGTGTGTGTGTGTGTGTGTGCACCTTCAGAATGTGCTGGTTCACACTGCCTTGGACGATGAACACCGTAGAGAAAATGACTGTCATGGCCGTGCCCACGACCATCCTCTCCCTTGCGTATGTCTTATATCACTGAAGACAATCAGGAAAAGTGAAAATATGCCTATATCCAAAGACCTAATACTGGCTGAAAAATGACATTGCTGAGCTATGCAATCCAGAGAGGAGCACAGTGGATTTATTTTGTAAGCCTAATTTGAGGAAGCTGGAACCAACTGCGAAGAGCTGGCCCTTCATAAAGAATTCCTTGTGTTCTAGGGTTGTGTCTCCTTACAGGACTGAGCCTAAAACATAACTAGTCAACATATTAATTTGTAATATTTATTTTCTTATAGCATCTTTCATGTGAGCAATTCACAGCATTTCCTCCACCCCAGTCCTGGCTCTCCCTCGTCAAAGTTAACCTTCTCCCTGCCACCTCTATCTCTAGTTCTCGAGCCTTTCTTTCTAGATGTGCCGCAGTATGGTGGAAATAGCACAAGCTGGAATGGCAGATCGACTTCTTAACTGTGTGACCTTTGCAAGTTACCTAACCTCTCTGGGCCTTATTTTCCTCAGCAATAAAATGGAGGAAATAATGCTGGCCTAGGAAGGTTGTTGTGAGAACATAAAATAATTTGTAAAAAGCACCAGTCACATTGCTTAATGTGCCATAAGTACCTTAAAATTGTGGCTGCTTTTTTTATTATTGTTGCTATTATAATTATTACTAGCTTGGACTGTGAGTTCCTCAAACGTGAAAGGCTCTTCGCTTCTCTATCTCCAGCTTGAATTTATCCGTCCTCAGAACAAATGAGAGTTTGGTTAATACTAGTTGACTAGAAAACTTTAATATTTTTTCAGAACTCCAGGGTACCATTCAGAGCAATCCCCTAGAATAATAAACTAAATGATACCTGAATAGTTCTGTTATCACATTAACCCTTCCACCCTCTTAAAAGCATGAAAGGCCATAACGGTTTAGACCATTATATAGATTTCAAATACCAATATTATGTTGTTGGGCAAACCATGGCAAAGTGACTTTTTATAAGCTGAATGTGGGCTTTATTTAGGGCTCAGTATCTGGAAGGATCTTAGAAGTCGTGTAATCCACTGGTTCTCAAACTTAGCCGCACATGAGAATCACATGGACAGGTTTTGAAAATGCTGATGCCTAGATCTCCAGTTTAACTGGTGTGGGGTGTGGCCTAACAAAAGCTCCCCAGGAAGATCTCATGTACCCCAAAGATTGAGAACCACTCATCCAACCCATCCCCCTAACATCTCCAAGTGGAAAGAGTAAAGCACAGAGAGGTTAAAAGGCGGGCCCTGTTTGTACTAAGACCCCCAGCTAATGAGTAATAGAGGGGATTGAGCCCCAGGTGTTCACTCTCCAGACAATAGAACAATGAGAAATTTCTCTTCATGGGTGGTCTCTGGCCCCAGGAGCTACGATGGGGTGGTGGTAGGGCTCAGGCTGCTCTGGTTTATGGGTTCCCAGAGAATGCTTAGTTAGCACTTGAAAAATACGACACAGAATGACCTTCAGGGCTCAAATGATGTGGATGTGCTAAGTCTGAATCCCTCCAATGGCATTTTTCTCTATTTCTCTTTGGTAGAGGTAGGGGCGTAGGGATGGATGGCAGTTGCCCATGTTCTGTCTCAGTTTTCTTCTCATTTGCATGCACCTGGGCAGACTGATCTCTGGGTTTGAAAAATGTGCAGGGGCAGGGCTGCTGGGAGGCTTAAAGATCTGGTTCTCTGACTGGCCAAAGGCATGAGAGCCGGGTTTTTGGCTTGCTTCGTGAAACTGTGACACAGAAAGCCTGGGTCTTCAGAGCTCTCCACTCCTGCTCTTTGTGCTGTTTGCTTTCACCATAGCAACATTGCTTCTGGTCCCACGTGCTCTTCCTGGCTGTCTTCCCTCTCAAAGCCCACATGCAGGAAAGGACCTGTAGTAAAATCATTTACTACGGAACACAAAGGTTCCTACTGCAGTAGAGAGGTTATATAACTGAAGAGATTTGCATTTTTAAGCTTTGTCTGTAATTGTGGAAGGAAAAGGTCTGCGATGCCTGAAGGAGGAACCTGAGGCCCCAGAGAGAGAATGGGAGCTGGACAAACGTTCCCAAGGGTCTTGCCTACACCTGGCCCTGCCCAGGGCCTGGGAGGTAACGTGTTTGATGAACAGTGTGTTTGTGGACACCTGAGGGGGTTGGGGCCCACCCCACAGGCTTTTCACTGGTAGAGGTGCTGAGACAATAGGAGGAGGGCAAGGCCCTCCGATGCAGATTCAACCACGGCAATAGGGTCCTAGGGCTGCCTGACAAAGCACCAGAGGTTGGGTGGCTTAAAGCAACAGAAAAGCATTGTCTCACAGTTCTGGAGGCCAGAAGTATGAAATCAAAACATCGGCTTGCTCCTTCTGCACTTCCCAGGGAAGAATCCTTCCTTGCTTTTTCCAGCTTCTGGCTGCTTGTGGCCTCCACTCCAGCCTGTGCCCCATCTTCACATGGCCTTGTCCTCTGCGTGTGTCTCTCTTGTGAGCATCTGGCTTAGAACGCTCTCTTCCTCTCTCTCATAGTACCAGCGCATGGATTACACTGAGGGCCACCCAGATAATCCAGGATAAACTTTTACTCTCGACAGCCTTAACTTGATCACATCTTTTGACATATAAGGTGATATCCACCCTTTTGCCATATACAGTAAAATGAACAGGTTCCGGAGATTAGGGCGTGGACATATCTTCAGGGCCACCATTTAGCTTGCTACATGGCATGAAAAGATATCAACTCTCAAGTCCCTTGTCAGAAAGTGTCGTGACTGGGGTTTTGGTACAAATCCATTCTTACTGAAACTAGAGGGAAATTTGGCATTTGGGAGGGAAGATGGAAGGGGCATCTACTTGGTGCAGACTCTGCAGGTACTTTACGTAGATGACATTTGAAAAGAACAAATGTTTATTGAGCACTTAGCAGAGCCAGGCTCTGTGCCACGTGGACGTAGACTAGCTCATTTAACCCTCATATCTGCCCCACTATTATTCCCCCCCTTTTACCAATGAGGGAATTTTAAAAGGTTATGACTGACCCAAGGTTATGACAGATAAAATGGCAACGCTGAGATTCAAGCATAAATCTGCTTGACTTCAAAACCCATGTCTGATCTAGGCAGTACTCTTCCTTCATCAGCCATACATTTTAATGAAGTAGAGATTAATGAAAATTCAAATTAATGAAGCAGTATTTTCACAATCAAGCTGTTCTTCCATTGTGTTGTGGATTTTTAAAGCTCCTACACACAGATGTGATGGTTTTAATTTCCAAGTTTTCATCCAAAATGGGAATGCTAAACAAAAAGAATTTAGAGTGTACAGATTTGCACTTTGCTGAAGAAGCAAAAGTGAAAATTCTGTGTGACATCCAGATGCCTCCAAAGGAAGAGTAAGCAAATTTTCAAAGAGGTTTGGGAAGAGAGCAAAGCCAGGCAAAGGAGTCAAGACAGAGAGGGAATGATTTGGGCTCACATGATGATTTTAGGTTCAAAAACCTTGAGTGGGTGCCTAGACTAAAACCCAGGAACACTGAGGAGAAGGCTGTGATTAATTTTCAGACTGATGGTCCAGATAAAGGAAGATTAGCTGGTAAATCATCAATCCACAGGTTTAGAAGCAGAATAATCTGTGGCCTCTGGAAAATGATTAGACTTCTCCCTCTTTTGGTGAAGGAAGAGGAGCAGAGGGAAAATGAGAGATGAGAGAATTCTTTTTCCAGTGTTATTGCCCACTCAAGACCAAGTTTAGTCAA